CTCATATTCATAGGTCTCTCTGAGAGACACTGCTGCTGCCACCTTCATCTGAGGTCTCTCTGCACAAGTTCTCTGATGAACTTAATCGGAGACAACACACAGATCGACCTGGGGCCCAACCTCGTGCTATATCCTGAGCTGCTCTACAAAAGAACTCTGTTGGCCAGCGCCGTGGCTCACTAGGCTAATCCTCTGCTTGCAGCGCCAGCACCCTGGGTTCTAGTCCCGGTTGGGGCGCCGGATTCTGTCCCGGTTGCCCCTCTTCCAGTCCAGCTCTCTGCTGTGGCCCGGGAGTGCAGTGGAGGATGGCCCAAGTGCTTGGGCCCTGCACCTGTATGGGAGACCAGGAGAAGCACCTGGCTCCTGGATCAGCAGGCCACAACCAGCTGGCCACAAGGCGCCGGCCGTAGTGGCCACTTAGGGGGTGAACCAACGGAAGACCTTTCTTTCTGTCTCTCTCTCTCTCTTACTGTCTAACTCTGCCTGACAAAAACAAAACAAAAGAAAACAAAAACAAAAACAAACAGAAAAAAGAACTCTGCTAATGAGTATGCAGATCCTTGCGCCAGGAGCAGGATAAACTTCCTCTGCAGCTGGGGCCCTTCTGGATTCAGGACGCAGGGACCACAGGGTAGGACTTAGCAACACGTAACACACAGAAAGACCAGCATAGGCTGAGGTGCTTCACAGTAGCCAGTGAGGTGTGTGTGTGAGACTTCCTCACAACATTCATTTATGTTTCCTGCAACCCAAATTTGCTGAAATCTATTTATTTGTTTGCTGAGTTTCAGGTAGCTGGCTGTGGAGTCCAGGCCCTTGCTCGTCCTTCATCCACTATTGGTTTTTCCAATCTTTCCCCTACTCAATATGCAGAATGATCTTCCTCAGATACAAATCTGATTGTGTGAACCCCAAGTTAAAACAAGTGCGATGGATTTGCAATGCTCCTAATATAAAATCCAAATCAGCTTTCTCTAATCTGACTTCTCCCAAACTCTCTGGCCTCCTCTTTGCCACTTTCCCTTGTACTCTCTCTACTCTGCCGTTATTGACTTCTCCCACTTCCTGAAACTCAGAATGCTAGTCTAATGAAGCACCACCGCTCTACTTCCACAGCACCATGTGCATACTTTTCTTGGGACTTGTATCCCACTGTGCCATGTGCACTGGTTTGTTTCCCTTCTCCACTAGAACGCATGCTCAGAGAGCAGAGGAATTGCACTTTGCGTATACTTTCGCACTCCTGGCTTCTAGCGGTGCCTGACTCAGTGAACATTTGTGCAGTGACTGAACAAAGGAAAAGAGGGAAATAGGAAGACTGGAGGAGAAGGAGGTAGGTTAGGGAAATTTAATTTTTGTCTTAAAAAATAAAGTTTGAGCGGTGCTGGTTTAGTGGATTCGAAATGGGCAACAATACAAAAGAGATAGGTCTGTAGATAGAGATTTGGAAGTTATATGCCCAGAAATGAAAGGCTGTTGCCATACAAGTAGTATTTAAAACTAAGTCTAAATTTCAGGAAAGCATATGATTCTATGAGTAACATAAGGAAAACATAACAAAAGAGCCTTAATTTATAATTCGCACACGCCATATGATTCAAAGCACTGTTAAGCAAGCTTGTATTACTGCACAGGACTACTGGGGTCAAAACCAGTCTCTACTGGTTCCTTTTCAAACTCAAAAGATTAGGTGCAACAACTTGATTCGTAGCATATTTGATATGCAACAACTTAGATTTTCATCATAGGTATAAGGTATTTTTTTATTCCTGTTTTGCTTTGTTAATATTCTGTGATTCCTAACACAGAATATTTGCTTTCTTAACTTGCATGATGTCTAAAATGAGTATTCAGACTGAAACTTGAAGACACTATGGCCACATACAAACACTTCCTCTTTCCAAGCCAGTAGCATACATGCAGGTACACAGCTTCATTTCAGTGTCATTCCTGATGCCAGTCTGTGGGGAGCAACTCAGACTAGACTAAGTTACTGGAATTAAGACTTATTCTATGCATCTGCTCTCCCACAATATGGCGCTGGGAGAGGAGGCAACAGCTTCTACCCAGCTGCCTCTCACCAACTTGACAAGCTGCAGGACCTGCTCCTGATTGGAGGAGAGCAGCGTACTCGGCGTGTGGGTAGCAGAGTTGGGATTGGTGGAAAAGGACTATAAAGGAGGAGAGAGACAACATGCACGAGGAACATCTAAGGGGAACATCTAAGAGGAACACCTGTGCAGCCCCTGAGAGAGCTGGCGGCGGTGTGCCGCTCCCCCGCGGAAGTGGGAAAGTGCAGGGGGAACCGCCCTTCCACGGAGGTGGAAGGGACGTTAGCCAACCCTGGAAGGGATCAGCAGTCATCCCGGGAAGGACCAGCATCCAACCCGGGAAGAACCAGCAGCAAACCCGGGGAGGGCCGAGCAGACGAAAGAACAACGCAGGGTCCTGTGTCGTTCCTCCACGAAGAGGGGGAGCGACATAATGGTGCCGTGACTCGGATAGGAAACTTAGGAGGGAAGAAACGGGAAGAAGCAGGAAAATACCGGAGAGAGAGACTAGAAGAGCCTAGGGGAAAGCCGGACGGAAAAGGTGCCGGAAGAATCTATTGAAAGCCTAGGCATAGACTCGGATACGGACTGTGGGAAAGAAGTTAGGATTTAAAGTGAAAGCAAGAAGAAACTTAGACTCAGATACGGACTGCAGGTTGAAAGTGAAAGTGAAACCTATAAGAAACTTAGACTTGGATACGGACTGTGGGGAGAGGCCAGGAGAAATGAGGGAGGAATATTGTTGGAAGAAAACCTAGGGAAACATACCGGGTAGAGAAAAATGTTAGGGAGGATGAAGCCGCGAGTGCAGGCCGAGGCGGAGACGTAAGCCAGCTTGGAATTCTTCAAGTCAGCCCAGAGAGCAAAAGGCGAAAATCTGGAACCAGAGGCAGAGACGTGGGCCGCCAGGTTGGAATTCGCCAGGTTAGTCCGGGGAACTTGGATTGAATACCGGTGGTGGCGGAAACGTAAGCTACGCTGTGTGACTCGCAGAGGCTGCCGCGCGCAGAGAGAGCGTGCGGGGCACAAGTAGATAGGGAATGCTGGGCTAGTGCAAGGCCGTGGTGCAGGCGCGAAGCCGGGAAGCCGCGCAGATGAGAGAAGCGCGGGCTGAAGCTGCTCAGAGCCGGGAAGCCGCCGAGAAGCAGCCTTGGGGTGGGCGCCGGGAAGCCGCGGGGATAAGAGAAACAGACATTTAGAAGTAAAATGAGAGAAATAGGAATGCTGGCAGATAGAAGTAAAATGGGAGAGATAGGAATGCCTGGAGATAGAGAAATAGAGAAAAATAAGGCCTCCCCTCAACATGGCAATGAGAGAGCTTGGATTCGGTCTGCCTGATTAGGGAGGTGGTGAGCACCTGCAGGCGGCTAGCGGCTTATGCGCCGCAGGTCACCGAAGACAGGCACGAATTAACATCAGTAAGTCTCCCCACAATACCGCAATGAGAAGGCTTGGATTCGGTCTGCCTGATTGGTAAGGCGGTAAGCACCAGCAGGCAGCTCGACCAGAGTATGAGCTGCAGGTCACCGAAGATAGGCACGAATCAACACCAATAAGTCTCCCCACAAGACGGCAATGAGAGGGCTTGGATTCAGTTTGCCTGATTGCTAGGGCTTGTAAGCACCTGCAGGCAGTTCTAGCAGAGCAGAGCATGCGCTGCAGGGCACCGAACACAGGCACGCATCAGCGCCTAAAAACCTCCTCACAACATGGCGAAGAGAGGACCCGGATTCAGTTTGCCTGATTGATAGGACTTGTAAGCACCTGTGGGCAACTCTAGCAAGCAGAGCAGAGTGTGTGCCGCGGGGCACTGAAGACAGGCGCATATCAACGCCAAAAATAAAAAGAAAGGGGGATCTGTGGGGAGCAACCTGGACTGGACTGAGTTACTGGAATTAAGACTTATTCTATGCATCTGCTCCCCCACAATATGGCGCTGGGAGAGGAGAAAAACAGCTTCTACACAGCTGCCTCCAGTTCAACCAATAAACTGTAGGACTTGCTCCTGATTGGAGGAGAGCAGCGTACTCGGCGTGTGGGTAGCAGAGTTGGGATTGGTGGAAAAGGACTATAAAGGAGGAGAGAGACAGTATGCACCAGGAACATCTAAGGGGAACATCTAAGAGGAACACCTGTGCAGCCCCTGAGAGAGCTGGCCGGCGGTGTGCCGCTCCCCCGCGGAAGTGGGGAAAGTGGCAGGGGGAACCGCCCTTCCACGGAGGTGGAAGGGACGGTAGCCAACCCGGGAAGGACCAGCAGCCAACCCGGAAGGACCAGCAGCCAACCCGGGAAGAACCAGCAGCAAACCCGGGGAGGGCCGAGCAGACGAAAGAACAACGCAGGGTCCTGTGTCGTTCCTCCATGAAGAGGGGGAGCGACACTAGTCTGGCGGGATTTAAAGGACATGGTGAGTGGAATGAACCATTTTACCCATTAAAACAATAAATACCTTACAAAGTAGCATCATCCATCCATCAGTGCAGCCAGATGTAATTAAACTGTACAAAAGTTATTCACATTTGTGGAATTAAGAATGTGCCATGCTAAAACAAGTTTACAATGTGTATATCAAACTCCCATCTACTCTACTCACACACAGTTAGCTTTAAATCTTGCATTATTTATACACACATACCTATGCACACTCTGATTCAGTTGATTTTTAAGTTCAAAAATTAAAAGGCAACTGTTCCAGGAAATATGTAAAATCAGTTTTATCTAGTGACAGGACTCAAGAGTGTTCCTAAAAAATTTAATGAGGTCTTTTCAAGAAAAGTATCTGTGCTTGAAATGTGTTACTGAAAAATAACTGCAAGAAAAAAAATGTCAGCTACTAGAATGTGACAATGAAAAGAATAAGAAAGACACGCTGCAGTTAAATGTGCCACATTTCTACTCGTGCTCGGGCAGTCGCTACTCATCTGACCTGGCAAAGTGCAGCCTCCTTACCAGTGACTGTCACGCAGGAGTCGCTCTGAGCTTCAGCCATTTCCTGAACACAGACTTCTGAGCTCATGTCCACCTCTTTCCCTGATAACTCCACGTGAGCTTGGAGAGAAGGTGGGACCTTGACAGTAATAGAGCCTGTAACACATTTAAAGGAGAGCTGATTAATGCAAAGAAATCACAGAGTGCCACAGTCTGTTATGAATTTGATCGAAAGGGTAGCACTGTTCTTGACACACTGTTTTTACTTCTCAGCACATGTATTTTTTTAACTTTTATTTAATAAATATAAATTTCCAAAGTACAACTTTTTTAAATTATAGTGGCTTTTTCCCCCCATAACCTCCCTCCCACTCACAACCATCCCATCTCCTACTCCCTCTCCCGTCCCATTCACATTAAGATTCATTTTCAATTATCTTTATATACAGAAGATCAATTTAGTATATACTAAGTAAAGCACCCACACAGAAACACAAAGTACTGTTTGAGTACTAGCTATACCGTTAATTCACATAGTACAACACATTAAGGACAGAGATCCTACATGGGGAGTAAGTGCACAGTGACTCCTGTTGTTGATTTAACAATTGACACTCTTATTTATGGCGTCAGTAATCACCCGAGGCTCTAGTCATGAGCTGCCAAGGCTATGGAAGCCTCTTGAGTTCGCCAACTCCGATCTTACTTAGATAAGGCCATAGTTAAAGTGGAAGTTCTCTCCTCCCTTCAGAGAAAGGTACCTCCTTCTTTGATGGCCCTTTCTTTCCGCTGGGATCTCACTCGCGGAGATCTTTCATTTAGGTTTTTTGTTTGTTTGTTTGTTTGTTTTTTTTGCCAGAGTGTCTTGGCTTTGCTTGCCTGAAACTCTTGTGGGCTTTTCAGCCAGATCCACATGCCTTAAGGGCTGATTCTGAGGCCAGAGCTCAGCACATGTATTTGAGCAAGGGTACCTTCCCCTGACTTGCAGGTGGTCGAAGTTTCCTTATTCTCAAGGCACTCACAGTGCCTTCAGGGGAGGCAGTGGTCATCAGGACACGATGAGCTGCTCATTCTTTTGCCAACAGTCCTATCCAGCTCATCCAGTATCAAAAAGAGAGTACTAAGCGACACAGGTAGCTTTTAAATAGGATTTAACTGAGCAAGTGCTAAGAGCCAGGCACCTAATTACACTGTGTTTTCACCCCCATTTCAACTTTATGAGATATTATTGTAATTCTGATTTTATAGATGACAGATTGCTCAAGTCCCCACTAGAGCTAGTTCAATGATTTTAATCACTATGGATTTTCACACACCACCGACCCCACTGTGTGACAGGACTGGTAACCTCATGGATCGTTAGCACAACTAGAAGCCTGAGCACGTGTGGTTTTCAGTTGGACTTAGTGTATGGAGAAAAAAATCAATAAAAGGAGGCTGATTGTTTTTGACTGCTGTATAGTATTCTATAGAGTACATATCCCATAATTTCTTTATCCAGTCTACTGTTGATGGGCATTTAGGTTGATTCCAGGTCTTAGCTATTGTGAATTGAGCTGCAATAAACATTAAGGTGCAGACAGCTTTTTTGTTGGCCAGTTTAATTTCCTTTGGGTAAATTCCGAGCAGTGATATGGCTGGAGGTTGAACGGTAGGGTTATATTCAGGTTTCTGAGGAATCTCCAGACTGACTTCCATAGTGTCTTGACCAGTTTGCATTCCCACCAACAGTGGGTTAGTGTCCCTTTTTCCCCACATCCTCACCAGCATCTGTTGTTGGTAGATTTCTGAATGTGAGCCACTCTCACTGGGGTGAGGTGAAACCTCATTGTGGTTTTGATTTGCATTTCCCTGATTGCTAGTGATCTTGAACATTTTTTCATGTGTCTGTTGGCCATTTGGATTTCCTCTTTTGAAAAATGTCTACTGAGGTCCTTGGCCCATCTCTTAAGTGGGTTGTTTGTTTTGTTGTTGTAGAAATCCGGTCATTTGCAACAAAATGGAGGAATCTGGAAAACATTATGCTGAGTGAAATAAGCCAGTCCCAAAGGGACAAATATCATATGTTCTCCCTGATAGGTGACAACTAACTGAGCACCAAAAAGGAAACCTGTTGAAATGAAATGGACACTATGAGAAACGGTGACTTGATCAGCCCTTGCCCTCACTGTTGATGAACTTAATACATTAACCCTCTTAGTATTTTTTTGTCTGTTCTACTTAATAGTATTGGTTTAATTCTGTAATTAATACACAGTTATTCTTAAGTGTTGAAACTTAACTGAAAAGTGATCCCTGTTAAATATAAGGGTGGGAATAAGAGAGGGAAGGGATGTACAATTTAGGACATGCTCAAGCTGACTTGCCCCAGATGGTAGAGTTAGAAACATACCAGGGGATTCCAATTCAGTCCCATCAAGGTGGCATGTACCAATGCCATCTCACTAGTCCAAGTGATCATTTTCAGTTCACAATTGATCATAATGATAGGAATAAGAATCAAAGGGATCACATAAACAAGACTAGTGTCTGAAAATACTAACCGATAGAACAAAAAAGGGAGAGAACGATCCAACATGGGAAGTGAGATACACAGCAGACCCATAGAATGGCAGATGTCCTAAACAGCACTCTGGCCTCAGAATCAGCCCTTAAGGCATTTGGATCTGGCTGAAGAGCCCATGAGAGTATTTTAGGTGTGGAAAGCCAAGACACTCTGTCAAAAAAAAAAAAAATGACCTAAATGAAAGATCTCCGCGAGTGAGATCTCAGTGGAAAGAACAGGTCATCAAAGAAGGAGGTACCTTTCTCTGAAGGGAGGAGAGAACTTCCACTTTGACTGTGACCTTGTCTAAATATGATCAGAGTCAGTGAACTCAAAAGGCTTCCATAGCCTTGGCAACTCATGACAAGAGCCTAGGGTAATTACTGATGCCATAAACAAGAGTGTCAATTTGTTAAGTTAACAACAGGAGTCACTGTGCACTTACTCTTCAAGTAGGATCTCTGTCCTTAAAGTGCTGTACATTGTGACTTAATGCTATAACTAGTACTCAAACAGTATTTTTCACTTTGTGTTTCTATGTGGGTGCAAACTGTTGAAATCTTTACTTAATATATACTAAACTGATCTTCTGTATGTAAGAGAAGTGAAAATGAATCTTGATGTGAATGGAAGTGGAGAGGGAGCGGAAAAGGGGAGGGTTGCAGGTGGGAGGGAAGTTATGGGGGGGGGGAGCCATTGTAACCCATAAGCTGTACTTTGGAAATTTATATTCATTAAATAAAAGTTAAAAAAAAAAAAAGGGAGGGTGATTGAAACTGTCATTGACTAATGTTCCTTCTGAGTGGGTTACAGGCTTTGGGTACCTGGGGCAGAGCATTCAACTTTATTGCCAGAACAATCTGGTGGTGATTCAAGCATCTAAAGGAGTAAATCAGAAACAGTGCTATGTAGCTATGGAATGATTTTTCAAAACAGTTATGTGGGTTGCACTGCAAATTCACCAGCAGACTCCTATTTCCCAAGTTTTTCTTTCTCTGTTTCTTATCAAGTAGAGTAGGTAAGAAGCCCCTTCCATAAAACCATTAATCCCATCTCCATGGCAAAGACAGTCAGGGTGACATCCATTGTCTGTAAAGATTCCTTTTAAAAATGTTTATTTATGGGCCATGATTTCCTTTCTAGTCTGGTTAACGTCAATTGAATTCTCATAAGTCATTTCATACCTTCTTGGTCCTCCTAACTGAAGCTGGAAGTTTGGGGTGAGACTGATAAACTCTCCATGTATTCCTCAAAACAAGTAGGGAACTAAGCCCATCACCACACTGGTTTATGTTACATAAAAATCAACAAATTGCATTCCAGAGTTCAGATGTGACTGACAGGAGAGTCGCCGTAATGGCAATGGGACAGCTTTAGGAAAAAGTAAGCAACCCTGGAACTTTTCGGGATGAACAGATATGTGATAAATGTTTTCTCCCCAAACATAATTTTAAAAGTAGAAAATTACGGGTGGATGTAAAAAACTTTTTTCTAAAATTTTATATTTCTAAATGTATCAAATGTGATACTTAGATGAACATTTTGATCTTAAATCTGTGAGATCTTTAAAAAGTTTAAGCAATGCATAGTTCTGTCCCCTCTCCCTTCACATCTTAAACAAAACAAAAATCACCACTATCAAAACTCGACCACTGTTTGTGAATGAAGAGTTGTCATGACTTGGAAACTTTCCTAATGTCCAATTTTAACATTATCTTTTTCTTGAAAGAGAACTCTTTGGCCTCCTTTATTTATTTATTTATTTTACTTTGAGAGGTTGAGAAGAGAGAAAGAGACAAATAGAGTCCCCATCCACTGGTTCACTCCCAAATGCCTGCAACAGCTGGGGCTAGGCCAGAACGAAGGCGGGAAGTAGGAACTCAGTGTAGGCCTCCATGTGGCCACCGCTGGCTGCCTTGTACACTCTGCACCAGCAGGAAACTGGAGTTGGGAGCTGGACCAATGTACTGAACCCAGGCCCTATGATGTGGGGCACAGGTGTCCCAACTAATGAGGCCAAATGCCTGTCCCTAGCTCTTTTGACTTTGTAAACTTTTTCATGGTTATCTACATCAACCCTATCCTTTAAAAATTCAGAAGTAAACTATTCCAGCACCACTTATTGAAGGCATACTATGTTAATACTAATTTTTCCAGGGACAAAAGGCTAAGGGGAAAAGCCCATTCTCAGGTGCAGAGATGACTCCCAAGCCCAGCACAGCTTCTCTGAATGGATGGACTAAGTTCACCATATGCACTTTTCTAAGGAGAGAGAAAATGGCACTCTAACTCTTTTTTTTTTTTTTTTTTCCACATGGCAAAACAGTGATGACCCAAGACACTCAGGTGGCTGGCTCTGAACTCTACAGCAGGACAGTGGCAGCGTCAGAATGGTCTCCAGATGTTCAGAACTGACCATTAAGCCAGGAGTCCTGAATAAACTTCTATTGCTTTAAAAAGTTACTGATCCCAAAAGGAGTGAGAACCGAGAGATCTGAAGCAAGACGGAAATCTTTGTTTCTAGTTATCTTTAAGCTTCTGCCAGTAACATGAACAAAAATTGGAATCTCATCAAATTTTGCATCACATACTATTTCAATAGTTGCTGGAATAATATTCTAAATAATACTGAAAATAAGTGTCTGAAGATCAACAATCTTCAAACATTTTAAAGTTTTTTTGTTTTGTTTTACTTTTTTTTTTTCCGCTCACCACATAAAACAGCCAACAACTTCCATGTAAGAGCTGTTTATTCAAAACTTTGTTTCCACTCTGTTATTAGTCACATTGATGGTTTGTGTTTTTTCTCCTTTGGTCTTCATAATAAGAGGGGCAATTATGTGACCTATATGGCATCTACAGTTTACTCTGAATAGTACTATGGAATCTCTTAGGAATTTAGTGATGTTAGGTTATCCTGGTTTGTTACCAAATGATCCTGAGAAATCACACCAGTGTATCTGCACCAGTTCCCCCTTTAGGCCTCTGTATTCTGTTGTTCTTCTCTGGCGCCCTGAGAAAGCAGCCTTCTCAGATGAAACACTTGTAAATCAACATGGCAAAGTAATGACTAAGAGCAGGAACAACCAGTCACTGTAAGGAAAAACTTTCCCTGTGATACATAAAGCTGTGTATGCAAGAGCTTCTAGACTTGGTTTTAAAAATATTTTTTAATATATAGCTACAGTTCTTAGCTTTCTGCACTTCCCCCAAGCTACCTCAGCCCCTACAGCCAGGCACCTGTACCCAAGCCACCTGGTACCATGCACATGTACATGCGTGTGCACATAGGCATACCCACAAACTCATATTTGTCGCTCCCCATCTTCGTGGAGGAACGACACAGGACCCTGCGCTGTTCTTTCGTCTGCTCGGCCCTCCCCGGGTTTGCTGCTGGTTCTTCCCGGGTTGGCTACTGACCCTTCCACCTCCGTGGAAGGGCGGTTCCCCCTGCCACTTTCCCCACTTCCGCGGGGGAGCGGCACACCGCCGGCCGGCTCTCTCGGGGGCTGCACAGGTGTTCCTTCAGATGTTCCCCGGTGCATGTTGTCTCTCTCCTCCTTTATAGTCCTCTTCCACCAATCCCAACTCTGCTGCCCACACGCCGAGTACGCTGCTCTCCTCCAATCAGGAGTAGGTCCTACAGTTTATTGGTTGAACTGGAGGCAGCTGTGTAGAAGCTGTTTCTCCCTTCTCAGCGCCATATTGTGGGAGAGCAGATGCATAGAGTAAGTCTTAATTCCAGTAACTTAGTCTAGTCCGAGTTGCTCCCAGTTGCTCCCCACAATATTTACCTTTCAAGTGAATACAAAGTATAGTGTTTTTAATGAAAGATCTGGACTCTTAGAAAAAGGTATTTGAATTAGAAATTAATTTACATAGAAAGACTTGTCATAAGTCTTGATCTTTCAAGAGACTAATTTAGCAATAATCACCTTAGAGGTGATTTCCTGGTAATACCTTTCATTCAAGGTCAGATTTTACTCTACATGTGATAATCTGAGAAAGTGCTCTTACAAGCTGGTAGAAAGGCTGCCAAAGGAACGTATGGGAGCATTTTACCTTCAGAGAATATTCTATTTGACACATATGACTAAAATGAAAATCCCACGCAATAACATTAAAAAATTCCAGAATAAAAGACAGTCAAAATATTACATTTTTGTATGTACAACAGAGGGAAAGACAGTCTTCAGAGCCATCTGTCCCAAAAGTTGTAAAGCCCATTGGTCTACAGAGCTAGCAGCCAGTCCTTAAGTCATGTTCTATCAGAAGAAATTTTCTTAAAAGTCACTATGTCGGTATAGACACTCTGACCATCTGTTTCCTGAGTGTTACATAAAAACTTCCTTACACCATATGTCAAAATAAAACATTCCAGTTGGCTAACCTTCATGGGATTTCAATTCCACTTTCCCCAGTTGGCTCACATAAACATCTATGGCACCCTGATGAGTTGAAGCTTTTAGACATCCAGAGGATGAATCTGGGAGGAAGAGAAAAACACAAGTACAATCATTCTTACTTCAGTAAATGGAACCATAAACTTGAAATAAAAGGCACTACTTTAACATTAATAAAAGGAACTCGGGATCAAAGAAGGTTTCGTATTTTCCTCAAAAATAAAAATTGCCATCATTTGCATTAAATGTAAATAGTACTAGAAATCTACTCACAGGCAACAGAAGAAGCTCTAAATCTACAGCAGCCCAATAACTCACCTCCAGACGTTTCCTTTAAAACCCAATGTGTAGGAAAGCCAGTAAGATACAAGCATTGGCTTTGCTACTGAGGAATCATATTAAGGAATTTGGTAAACTTTGAACATGAAAGAGCTTTTAATAGTTCATGGAAAATGCATGCAATAAAAAAGCTATGCATGGATTTAAAAATTATTTTGCAGCAAAATAAACAACTTTAAATTCTGTTTTCCATAAACATTTTGAAGTCGCCTTCTCCTTATCAAAACAGTCCTCCCTCATATATAGTCCCACTTCAGCAGCAGCAAAGATAACAAAAATCCAAACCTCTCTGATAATTTCTCCTTTAGCAAATTTACTAGTAGTAGGAAAGTATTCCTAACAGTAAAAGGTAACATAACGGTTTTGGTAGAGGGACAGAAACTCGGGGTGGGGAGGCTTACAGAGGACATTAAAGAGTGAATGAACCTTGCTTATATTTAATATTTCTTTTCAAGGTTTTGGAATTAAAGCAGTATCTTCAAGTCAGGGTGAGAGAATCATATTTAAGGCAGTCTTGATTTTATACTCAAAGTTCTCTGTCATTAATGACCACAGCTTTTTAAAATTTACTTATTTAAGGATTGGCATTATGGTGTGGCAGGTTAAGCTGCTGCCTACAACACCAGCATCCCATATGTGCACCATTTCCCTACTAATGGCCTGAGAAGGTAGTAAAGGATGGCCCAATAGGTTGGACCTCTGCCAGCCAAGTGGGAGATCTGGAAGAAGTTCCTGGCTTTAGCCTGGCCCAGATCCGATCATTGTGGCCCTCTGGAGAGTGAACCAGTGGATGGAAGACCTTTCTCTCTGTCACTCTTTCAAATTTTTGTAAAGCTTTGTTTTATATATTTGTCAAACCAATGGTTAAGAATATTATACTACTACTAGTTTTGATGATTTATGATTACTTTGAAATTTACTATATATGTGTGAAATGGTCATTTTTTCATTCAATTATTGTTTATAGCTGTTGTCTATATTCCCACTAAACTAGGGACTTTTTGCTTCTTACTTGTTAAACGTATTTGGTGAAACATTCAGTCTTTTTATTGTAATGTAAATTTAAAATGTTATCTCAAAAACTAAAAAAAAAAAAAGAGGGAGGGAAAGGGACAGAGAGAGAGAGGAAGTGTGGATGGAGAGAGGGAAAGAGGAAGCGAGTATTGTTGTATTCTTGGAATTTTGTCTACAAAGCATACTGAATCTGTTAAAAGCTAATTAAAGATTTTTGAAACAGGAAAAAATAAAATTAGATGGAACACAACCACTAAAAATAAATAAAGTACGTGTGAAAAAAATAAATCTTAAAAAAATTAATTGATTCAAAAGGCAGAGAGACAGAGATCTTCTGTCTTCTGGTTCACTCCCCAAATGGTTGCAAAGGCCAGGGCTGAGCCACTCAGAAGCCAGGAGCCTGGAACTTGAGTTGTCTTCCACTGACTTCCCAGGCACATTAAGGGGGAGCTGGCTTGGAAGGAGAGCAGCCAGAACTTGAACCAGCACATCATCACAAGCAGCAGTTCAACCTGCTGGGCCACAGGACACCAGCTTTAAGTCAGCCAGTATTTCAAGTTCAAGGGAAAACTGATAGAATCAGAGACAAGGAAGAATGATAAGTGGTTTCTCCTTCGTCCCCTTCTCTCATGGCAATGGAACCTTGAATTTAATATTCTAACTGCTTTAAAGTCAAAAAAATACTTTTTTAACAGAGGCTTCTTAAAAGCATATTTTATCAAGAGCTTTTATGACTTCAACATGGAGATCAAGTAGGGAGTGTGGTGAAAGTTATGCTAAAATTTTTTATATTATACTTTTTACAAAATGATAGAGACAAAACATTTGGTTTTCTACAAAGGAGCCAACATTTTTCTTTAAAAGAAATTTTTAAAACTCTAAAAAAGGCAATAACTTTGGAATAAACTGTTTAAAATATGGCTCAAAGATCATTTATAATATATCTGTCTCCAATCTATACTGAAAAATGTCATTCCTCAGACCCAATTAGTTTGTCAAGTAAACACTAATGTTGAAAAATTAAGACTGTAGAGAAATGGACATAGAAGAATGGACAAAGATGACTACAGGGTATTTCCAAAAATTTATGTAAATGGAATTAAGATAGATTTATTTTGGTATAAAACATTTTGAAACCCATGCATACTTTTTTCATAGTAGACACTTTTCCAAACTTTTTGGAGACCTTTCTTCATACTTTACTGCTTAGGAACCAACAGAAACTCGTTTTAAAACCACTTACTGGCCGGCGCCGCGGCTCACTAGGCTAATCCTCCGCCTAGCGGCGCCGGCACACCAGGTTCTAGTCCCGGTCGGGGCGCCGGATTCTGTCCCGGTTGCCCCTCTTCCAGGCCAGCCCTCTGCTGTGGCCAGGGAGTGCAGTGGAGGATGGCCCAGGTGCTTGGGCCCTGCACCCCATGGGAGACCAGGAAAAGCACCTGGCTCCTGGCTCCTGCCATCGGATCAGCGCGGTGCGCCGGCTGCAGCGCGCCGGCCGCGGCGGCCATTGGAGGGTGAACCAACGGCAAAGGAAGACCTTTCTCTCTCTCTCTCTCTCTGTCCTCTCTGCCTGTCAAAAAAAAAACAAAAACAAAAACAAAAAAACAACAACAAAAAACCACTTACTATATCCTAAAAGTAGCTGAATAAAAATATGGTTAAAAAATGAAGTACACAATATGTGTGCATATAGAACAAAGTAAAATATTTAAAGCATTGGTTTGATTTCTTGCTTTCGCTCCAGGGAAACACACACACACACACACACACACACACACTTTTTATGTGGATCATTAACATTGCTTTCACTTCTTCTCCCGCCACCCATGGGAAATAACAGCTAAATAACTACATCTTAAGCCACCAAGTAATTAGATCCTCATGCCATCAGTCAGGAGTTCTGATAATGATAACAGCTCATTCCTTGGAATCTGTCAGAATCACAAAAAATAAAACTTAATGTGTGTGTTAGAAAGAGAAAGCAAAGGTGATAGTTACAAACCATGCAGCAAAACAAACCCAAATGTTCTTTTATGTAATATAAGTTATTCGAATGAAAATTATCAATAGTAAAACTAAAGCTCACTCACAAGATTTCATATTTTGGAAATTCAATAGATATTGTAGGAAGCCCTCAGGGAAATATATAGTGGAGCGTGATTAAGAAGCGAGCAGAAATTGTGAGTCCAGACAGTGGTAGGAATTAAGTAGACTCCCACAGAGCGTTTTCTATCATTGCAGTTCTGGGCAAAGATCTTGTTGATCTGGAAGACTCCACTGAGATTTCTTGGAAAATTACACATGCAAAAGGGAAAAACTGATGTCAACCATCGCCTTAACACTACATACAACCAGAAAAAGAGATATGCGTAACATACGCTATGCTAAGAGAAAACAACTACTCTTGAAAAGCTAAAATTCTCTCAACTTTGCACTTTCAATTCAAAAAAATGGAGAACTTTCTCAAAGGTATCCGAGCACCTTCAGGAAGTTCTTATGGTTTATAAAGTTACTTCAAGTTTCAAAACATAACTACTAAAGAACAATACAAAAGATAATGTCTTCGTTTCTGCAACGTGATTCACACTTTCAAAGCTACATTAATTGCAGCGACAAGGAACAACTTAGAGTTTTTATTTATTTTTACTGATTTGAAAGGCAGAGAAAGAGAGTGAGAGACCAAGAGAGATCTTCCATCTGCTGGTTCATTTCCTAAATGCCCACAGCAGCCAGGGCTGGGCTGCCCAAAGCCAGGAGCCTCTTCCTCACTCTAGCTCTTCCATATGCATGGCAGGGACCGAAGTACTTGAGCCATCACCAGCCTGCCAGGATGCATAGTATCAGGAAGCTGAACTGCCGGAGGAGGAACTGGGACTCAAACCCAGGTACTATGACACAAGATGCAAGTGTCTCACTTGGTGTTTCAATTGCTATGCACATCGCCCACCACTGGAACATTTTTTTATATAGGACACAAGGGTTTGAAATGGCAGAATGTTGTCACTTCAAGTTTTTTTTTTTATTTAAATGTTTTAAATTTATATAAATGGAACAAATTTCAACTCATACATATAGTTTTAAGAACATGACACTTCGCACCCCACCCTCCCTTGCTCAATTCCATCCTTCCTCCTACTTCCTTTTTTATTTTTCTTTTAATTTTCGTGAGAATATACATTTCTTCTTTGAGAATAAGTTTTATCATTAATTGAAGAAGCACCTAAGGAAACAAATAATGGAGTTGGGCACTTAGGCTTATCTAAAACTTATGAGACATAAGACTATCCTCCACTTAATACTCTAAAATGAAGTAAATCTTTGAGATTTTACTTTCATGAGGACAGAGGTCCTGCATGGGAAGTTGGTGCAGTGACTCCTGTTTTTAATTTAACAGTTAACGCTCTTATGTCTGATGTCAGTGACCACCTGAGGTGTCACTCCCCCGGACCCTGCGCTGTTCTTTTTGCCCAGCCCTTCCCGGGTTAGCTGCCGTTCCCTCACTCGCGGAGGAATGACGCCATCCCAGGTGCCGCGGAGGGGCAGCACCCCCGCCATGTTCCCCGTTTCTGCGGAGGAGCGGCACACTGCCAGCCGGCTTACTCAGGGGTTACTCAGGGGTTGCTCAGGGGTTGCTGAGATGTTCCTGGTACATGCTGTCTCTCTCCTTTATAGTCCTCTTCCACCAATCTGTGCTCTGCTGCCCACACGCCGAGCACACTGCTCTCCTCCA